TGGGTTTTTCCCATCCAGCCTTCACTTGGAATGTAAGGCCCCTCAAACTGCTTCCCAGGAATTACAGAGATTAAATTAGGGTCCCCAGGGTTCACGAGTGCCCTGTCTACTTGGCTGCGAAGGAGCTTGGAGACTGCCTGAAACCTTAGCAGGGAAAAGCCCAGGGGGCAGGTGTCTGGAGGGGGCCGACAGAGTGACCTTGGCAGCCCCTGCCCTCCCCAGGCACTGTCTGTTCTACCTACACAGCCGCTGCCCCTTGCCCACATCCTGGGAAGACAGAATTGGCACTTTCAAGTTCACAGCAGCGGAGGAGGAACCAGAAGGTGGAAGGGAAATGGGGAGTGCTTCGGACAGGCTCAGATGTGAGGCCTCTCTGGCATGGGCCTAGGGCAGCTTTAGGGACACCCAATCATTGACAAATGAAACATTTCATTGTATTTGGGGAGAAAGTCTCATCACATAGTCCCAACTGACTTTGAGCTCAGAGGTTGGCCTTTCTCTGCCCCCTAAGTGATGGGATTAAAAGCCTGGGCCACCTCATCCAGCCTGGGGGTCTTGCTTGTTTGTTTAGATTTTTTGTTTCTTTGCTTTAAAAAAAAAATACAATGTCTTACTTGGACACCCAGGCTGTTCTGGAGCCTGAGATCTTCCCTCCTCAAATACAGATGTGTGTCTCCACACTTAACTAAAGCCATCAACCTCAAAGAATGCAGGGGTTAATATCTTTAGCTGGACTGTAGTGGCGCACATCTTTAATCCTGGCACTCAGGTGACAGAGGCAGGTAGATCTCTCAGAGTTTGAGGTCAGCCTGGTCTACAAGAGCTAGTTCCAGGACAGGCACCAAAGCTACAGAGAAACCCTGTCTCGAAAAACCAAAAAAAAGGAACGCTCTGGTGCTGTCCCATCCGGTACCAATATCTGATCTTTATAGGTACGGAGAAGAGAGGAACCACAGGTGGATCTGTCCTGCCGCGCGGAGGGCCAACGGCGAGGGACTAAGAGAAAGGCCTCAGGTTAGTGGCCTTGAGAGCCCCTTGAACCTCAGGTTGAGTTTTCTCACCCTGGTCACCTCCGTGGGTAGGAACCTTTCACCCCAGCCCTTGGGAAGCAGTCATGAGGACTTTAGGTGGGAGCACAGTCTGGGATGCACATTGATACTTTGTCTCAAAAAACAGCAGCAGAAAAGCAAAGGTAGGACCTGGAGGTGGTGGTTAGAGACAGAGCTCAGGACTCCAGCGTGGGAGGCCAGGGTGGGAGACCAGGGTGTGATCGGCCTTGGATCCAGAGCAGGTAGGAGGATAGCAGGCTTGCTGGCTGCCAGCCTAGTCCCAGACTCAGTGAGAGACCCTGTCTCAAGGGAATAAAGTCACGATAATTCACAGACACGGGACACCCTCTGGCTGCTCAGAGACACCCCACACAGAGACAGAAAGAGACACACACACACAGACACAATATAATAAATAAAGCACTGGGCAGTTGGATACAGACAGCTCAGAAGTCTGAGGCTGGCCTTGACCCTAGCAAGTTTGAGGACAGAGTGATATGAACCTTGTCCCTATTTTTAAAAATCACACACACAAACTTAAATTCAATTAAAAATTTTTAGAGAACTAATTTTGATTCTTTTAAAGCACATGTCTGTATCCATGTGTCAGTAAGCAGTACAGGTGGGATTATGGGAGGAATCCTCCTGATGTGGGTGCTGGGGATCCCTAACCCCTGGGGGAGCAGTGGGTACTCTTGCTGAGCCATCTTGATATTCCTAAATTAAAAAAAAAATGTTTAGCCTGGCGTAGAGGCACACACCATAAACCCACTGCTGAGGAGGCAAAAGCAGGCCAGTCTGTCAGTTCAAGGCCAGCCTGGTCTCCTGAGTGAGTTCCAGGACAGCCAGGGCTCCACCGTGAGATCCTGTCTCAAAAAACAAAAACAAACAGAAAAACAAACAAAGGAAAAAATTAAAAACCTGTAAAAAAAAAAAAACATAAAACTCCTGAGGCTTAAAGGGAAAAGGCCTGGCAGCAGTGACCTCAGGCTGTGCCTGGCTCTGTCCCCCAGCAGGAGTGAAAAGCCAGTTTGAAGAAGTTGGTGACCTGCCCAGTGTCACACAACCTGGAGAGTGGCATTAAGGCTGGTCCAGAAGACCCTGCCACTCCCATGTTGCCTCTCCCACCTCCACTCCTGACTGACATCTAAGGTCAGCCCTGAGCTCCCGTGGGATGGATCTTAGTCCATCAACAAACACTGCATAGTTAGTCACTATATGTAAGGCCCGTGCTGGACACTGTGTTTACAGTTCAGACTGAGACCTTTTGTCTTAAAACAAAACAAACAAACAACAATAACCCATCAAATGCTACTTCTGAAGGAGGCCTCACTGTGAAGTTTGGGCTCAGGGTCACTGTTGATACTGGGCCTCCACAGCTGAGCCTGTGAGAAGTCTTTGGCACCTTGGCCTTGAGTGTGGGGGCCAAGGGTGGGTCTGCTGGCTGCAGGGTGAGGGACGGGGCTTTGACATGTCTAAATCGGGCCAGGGGGGGGGGGTTTGGGGGGGCTCCTTCCCGGAGAGGGCTGGGGAGATGTGCCCCCCCTCCGCCTCCCTGTCCCTGAGATACAAGCTCTGTACGCAGGACGGGTCCAAGGCACGCTGATGGGTGAATCCAGGACCTCTGAGCCCCAGATAGCCCAGAATCAGTTCCCCAATATGTGCGCCCCAAGTTCTGCAATTTACCTCTCCCCTTCTGTGCCAAGGCCTTTGCACACCCCACCCCTGCGCACCCCACCCTAGCGCAACCATGACCAGCCTCCTCTCACCCCTGCACACCCACCCCTGCACACCCCACTGCAGCCATGTCCAGCCTTCTCCCACCCCTACACACCTCTCTCCACTGCAGCCATGATCAGCCTCCTCCCACCCCTGTGCACCCCACCCCTGCGCACCCCACTCCATTGCAGCCATGACCAGCCTCCTCCCATCTTTTCTGCGTTTTCCTTTTGAGACAGGGCTGTAGCCCAGGATGGCTCCCTGTCTATGTGGGAAAGGCTGGCCTTTAACTCCTGTGTGTGCCTCCGTGCTGGCTGATTTCAGCTGCTGGGGAACGGAGCTCAGAGGAGAGTGTGTATCCAGGCCACCTCGGCATCAGCCATGTCTCAGGCACCTCCAGGCCTGACCAGGTTCCCTAGTGTCAGTGTCCCTGCGGTCCCCTTTTTCTAAGGCGGTTTCCTGTCATGGAAGTCACAGTGGTGTCTCAAGTACTTGTACCCGTGGCCCCCAGGTCCCCTCCTGCCCACCGTGGCTCCCTGGGACCCAGACCTAGGATGAAGGTGCAGTTGTTCACACCCTGTCCCATAGGTTCCTGCAGGCCTCGGGTCCATCCCAAATGGTTGCTAGGATACCTCGTGGAGGGGCTCTGGAGAGGAAAAGGGACACAGCTCAGAGGCAGAAGTGACTGTTGAGGCTGTGAAAGGGTGGCTGGTGTGGGGGCCACGGTTGACCATGGGCACCGAGACGAGATGGACCTGAAGGAGGGTTACTTGGGCAGGGACAAACCAGGGCATGCTCCACTCCCTGGGAACTGCGGGCAGCTTGCTCTCAGTGTGCCTCAAATGGAGCTTGATGGCCCGTGCCTGTCATCCCAGGACCCAGGAGGATCAGAAGTTCAAGGTCGTCCTGAGCTGCAGTGATTTCTAGCCTGGCCTCAGATACACAAGACCCTTTCTCAAGGGCAAAAATGATTCCTGGGTGGTCCAAGTGGGTGACAGTCAGTGAGACAGCCTGTGGCCTCAAGGTCGAGGTGGCCCAGTGGGCCGGAAGTTTAGGGACTGGAGACAGAGCATGATGCTCCTGGGCCCCAGCAGGGTTGCAAAGGCACATCACTCTGGTGTCTCTCAGAGCCCACTTTTGTCTGTCACCCCAAGCTAGTCCTACCTGGCTCTATCTGTGTGGACAGATGTGGCGGTGGTCCCAGTGGCTGATCTGGATCTGAGACGTTGGTGGCTCTGCTGTGAGGTGAGCACAGTCACCAACTCCCGCCACTTTCCAGCCACAGACCTGCCCTCAGTCCTTTCTGCAGGGCTCTGAGCTGCGCTGAGAGAACAGGGGGAAGCATTGTCCCGGAGGAGCTCCCAGCTGGTAAGGAATGGCATTATTAATGGCGGTGGGGGGGGGGACCCTAACAAGGAGGTTGAGGCAGAAGGGTTTCAGTGAGTGAGTTCAAGATCAGCCTTGGCTTCAGAGTGGGACCCTGTCAAAAAAGCACAAGACCACAAAAGCGTTGGAGCAGCTAGGTGGGGTGGCCCAAGAATGCAGAGGGGAGCAGGAGCACTAGGTCAGTCTTGGCTACAAAACCCCTAAAGGCTAACCTAGGTTATCTGGTGAGTTCTAGGGAAGCCTGGACTACACAGTGCGTTTGAGGCCATCTAGGCTACATGAAACCCTAATTCAAAACACTTGCATGAGGGAGGGTTGGTGAGAAGACAGAGGCTTGGAGAGGGGGTGTCTCCCCAGCCCGGATGACTCCAGATCCCTGGAGCTCTTCTTGCCTGCAAGGCTGTTGGGGTTCAGGACTGGGGAATCCCTGAGGTGAGCGGGCTTGTCTGTCCACAAAGATGAGATCCCCAGTGTGCAGGACACCTCGCGACAACGGGTGGCCCATACACAGCTGTCCATCTCCTGTGTTCCCCGTTCTTGCCAAGCGCCCAGGAGGGAGCTTTAAGCGTGGGCGGGGCCTGCGGGGTCATGGGGGCGGGGCCTGACGCTCTCAGCCAATCCAAGGCGCCACTCATCAGGGGCGGGCGCCGCCCCCCACCCCGGCCAGCCGCGGCGGGGACGCGCTGGCACGCGGGTGCAGGTCCTTGCCTCGCCCGCAGGTACTGGCGTGAGGAAGCGGGAAGCCGGTAATCGCGAGCACCTGGGTCACGCGACTGGGGACGCAGCTGGGAATGGTGTCTCCGCGGGGTCAGGGTCAGGGATACAGGAGAGCGGGTGAGCGTGACCCCGGTGAGGAAGGTTACAAGCGGGGGACGCTGAGCCCACAAAACCCGTGCAAAGGGTGCACTGAGCACGCACTCGCGGGCCACTCTGCACCGTGGTCAGGGTACTCCGTGACAGCCTCTGGGCTGCCAGTCTGGCCCAGTAAGCTCTCTGGCGGCCGGTGGGCAAAGGGCAAGCAGAGCGGTCATCCCGAGGAGCCAGTGAGCCTGCTGAGGGGGGATCTGGGCTCCTTCTTCCGCCTCACCCATCCTCTGGCTGCTGGGGAAGTGGCCCCACACTGGTCCATTTTCACTGTGTGGTTCCTATGGAGGGGTGCGGGGAGGTGGGTCCCTCCAGAGACCCACAGCAAGGGACACCTATTGATCCGGTTTTATTGTATTTAATTTTGAGTTAGGATCTCGTATACCCTAAGCTGATCTCAAACTCATTATGTAGCACAGGCTGGCCTTGCAGTCCAGAGCTTCCTGCCTCAGCCTCCCCAACTGCTTAGATGGCGGGACATATACCACACACCTGGCACCCCAGCACTTGGTGTGCGTCGCAAGCAAGGCCATCCTGGGCATCACAGCCCATCCCTAAAGTACATGAAAGTGAATGAGCCCACAGAGGGCCGGTTTGTGGGTGCTGAGCTGGTGTTTCAGGCCAGGTGAAGGAAGCACAGGATAGTCACCAGCCTGGTGTCCCCAGCTCATAGCTCAACAGGACCAGGCTGGTTCCCTCTCACTCGCCTCTGCCCTCATATGGTGTGGCCGAGTAGCCCGACCTCCCTGGGCTTTACTGTCTTTATGGATGGGATCAGGAGTCCCCTGTGCTGGGGCTACAGACAGTCCTTCTAACTGGAGGCTCAAATGAAGAGTGAGTCCAGGACTGGTGGGTTACCCACGTGGAGTCCCTCTGCCCACTGTGGAGCCTCCCCCTGTGTCCAGGAGGAGGCTGTCTCAGGGAACGAACATGGCAGCTCCTGGGCTGCGCTTGGCACGTGTGTGGGGCAGCTGAGTCACAGCCCCAAATTGCATCTTCATCCGTGCATCGTGGAGAGAGGCGTGCAGTAAGCCTTGTGGACACGCAGGGCACCACGTCACCTGATACCGACTCAGCAGCTTGAGGGGAAGGGGACTCGTGGACCAGGGTGGGTGCCGGGCGTGTTGGTGTCTGCAAGGATGGTGCTGGGGAGCCACGGCAGGCTTTGGAGCAGAAGGCGCGCACTGGCTTCAGCCCCTTTCAGATGGTCAGGGCCTTCTGGATCCTCCTGGGCCTTAGCATGTCCTGGAGTGGCCATGGTGACGTCCACTGTTTTCTCTCTCTCACAGGTCTGTCCGGGAGCCCCGCTGCTGAGCCATGCCGGGCCCACACGGGCCTGCTGCAAGTCCAGCCCAGGGAGGCAGGTGGCCATGAGTAGCCGCAGCCACAATGGCAGTGTAGGGCAGCCTCTGGGCAGCAGGCATGGATTCCTGGGCTGGGAGCCTGTGGACCCTGAGGCAGGCCGCCCCCCACAGCCAGGCGCCCAAGGCCCAGGCCTGCAGATGGTGGCCAAGGGCCAGCCTGCTCTGTTGTCACCTGGTGACCTTAGGGGCCATCTCCAGGAGCAGGAGGAAGAGGAAGAGGCAGATGAGGCCCGGCCAGGTTCTGGGAAGCCCTCAACAGTCAGCCACCGCCTGGGCCATCGCCGCGCCCTCTTCGAGAAGCGCAAACGCCTCAGTGACTATGCTCTCATCTTTGGAATGTTTGGGATTGTCGTCATGGTAACAGAAACAGAGCTGTCCTGGGGTGTGTACACCAAGGTAGGTCCCGTCCCCCATCTGCTCAGCCTGGGGTTGGGGCTGCAGGAGGGGGTGCATGTGGCTGCACGCAGAGGTTGCAATGGACCACAGGGGTGTGAGGCAGCCCTAGCAGCCCTGGGGACATGGGGGGGGGGAGCCACAAGGACAGATCCCGTCTCTGTGCAGGAGTCCCTGTGCTCATTCGCCCTGAAATGCCTGATCAGCCTGTCCACGCTCATCCTGCTTGGCCTTGTTGTCCTCTACCACGCCCGCGAGATCCAGGTTGGTACCCGAAGGCGTGACCCAGCACAGGATGGGGTGGCAGGACCTGAAACAGGCGGTCTCTGGGATAGTGCCCCCCTCAACCCCCCAATGTCCCACCCTGTCTGTTTTTCAGGAGATTGTTTTCTGGGATTTGTTTGTTTGTTTGTTTGTTTGTTTGTTTGCTTTGGTTTTTTCAAGACAGGGTCTCTCTGTGTAAAAGCTCTGGCTGTCCTGGAACATGCTTTATAGAAGACCAGGCTGGCCTCTAACTCAGAGATCCGCGTGCCTCTCTTCCCAAGTGCAGGGATTAAAGGCGTGTGCCACACTGCCCAGCAGTGCTTTCTGTTTTTTGAGACAGGACCTCACATAGCCCAGGCTGGAGCCACGGATTTTCCTGTCATTGCTGGGAGGACAGTGGGTGCTCAGCCAAGACCTGTTTTCCCTCCAGGCACCCCCTTATCTGGGTGGTGTCCGAGAAACCTTCATCTCCACCTGCAGTGTTTTGGCCAAGGTGGAGGAGGGATGGAGGCTGAGGGAGGCTTTGCATGGCTGAGAAGGTTCCAGGATAGGGAAATTGCTAGAACAAACAGACTCTGAGCTGCAGGACTAGGGGGGTCAAGGTGGGAGCTAACAGTGGTGAGGTCAGTGGTTGGCATGTGGGCAGCGGAGGTGTCACCCGGCTTGCATCACATCAGCCCATGTCCCTCCCCAGGGTCAGCGCAGCACCCCGCAGAGGGTGGGCAGTTCCCCTCAGGATTGCAGGTCCTCCTCCTGGGGTCCTCCTCCATGGCCTAACGCCAGACATGGTCAGGGCAAGATGGGATTAGAACTGTGAAAGGTGTTCTTTGTGGCCCTGAGCCCAGCCCTCTTCCCGACACTTCCTTTAATTTTGTGTGTGAACATGTGGCAGTCGTTTCTTTGGGTTCCGGAACTTGAACTCAGGTCCTCAGGCTTTGAGTTAGAACTGGAGCCTGAGAAACACGCACATACCCTGTTACACTAGCACTTTGGAGTCCGAGGCAGAGCTGCTGATGGTCTAAGGTCAGCCCGAGATAAGACCCTGTCTCCGACAGGCAGAACAAACCAGCTGGATTGCGTATTCTGCACCTGTCATCTCAGCATTTGGGAGGCTGATGTATGAGGATCAGGACTTCAGGGTCATCCTTGGCTACATAGGCATTCAGAGCCAGCCTGGGCTACATGAGACCCTCTCTTAAAAATACACAAACAAAAACTTTTTTGTCTAAATTCCTTAGCTGGGTGAGGCTGAGAGCTAGGCCAGCACTGAAGGGTGGCCCCATCCTCTGGGGACCCACCCAGCCATCCCCTTCCCTCAGCTGTTCCTGGTGGACAACGGTGCTGATGACTGGCGGATCGCCATGACGTGGGAACGCGTGTCCCTGATCTCGCTGGAGCTAGCTGTGTGTGCCATCCACCCGGTGCCCGGCCACTACCGCTTCACGTGGACAGCGCGGCTGGCCTTTTCGCTGGTGCCGTCAGCGGCCGAGGCGGACCTGGACGTGCTTCTGTCCATCCCCATGTTTCTGCGCCTCTACCTGCTGGCTAGGGTCATGCTCCTACACAGTCGGATCTTCACGGACGCCTCCAGCCGCAGCATCGGGGCCCTCAACCGTGTCACCTTCAACACGCGGTTCGTCACCAAGACCCTCATGACCATCTGCCCGGGCACCGCACTGCTGGTCTTCAGCATCTCTTCCTGGATCGTCGCGGCCTGGACAGTGCGTGTGTGTGAGAGGTGACTGAGGGCTGCCTCCTTGAACCCAGACCCCAGGTCCCCACCTGACCCTGAGTCTCCCCTCCACCCTGTGACCCTTGCAGGGTGGACCTCCGTATCTATTGTGAGGATTGTGTCTGTTCCTTGGCCTGCCATTGCTGTCCCAGCAGCCAAGAGTTTAAGATTAGCTGTGAGGAGAGTAAGCTGGCATCCAAGATGGGCATGGCTGGGAACAAGGAACAACCCAGAGCCCAGAGTCTTTTTCAGCTAAGTTCTGGGAACCAGGAGTCCCAGGTCACACATGGGCCCCAGGAAGCTGCAGACTGAGGTCCTCAGGGGTCATAGGATGTGCCTGGGGGACTGTGAGGTTCATCTGCCCTGTGCCTAGTCAGGAAAGGCCTTGGTGGGAGACCCACGCTCAACACCCCACCCTGCTGACGAGAGGCAGGACCTTAGGGCTCCTCGTGTTGTCCCCAGAGCCAGGAAACCGGCTTAAACACTAGGCCACCTCTGCTTGCCACCTTGCCTTGCTGTGACCTCACAGGCATTCCAGCAGTTCTCATCCCCACACCTGATCACCCTGAAGCCTCTCCGTAGCTACAGTCTGGAGCGGGGACAAAGCTCATGGATGGAGCAGGAAGATCAGGAGTTTAAGGTTATCCTTGGCTACATAGCAAGATTGGGGCCAGCCTGGGCTACATGATGCCCAATCTCAAAAAGACAAAAAATCAAAATCATAACTAACCACAGAATGATCTCTGACAGGCATAGTGGTGCACATCTTTAATCCCAGCACTCGGGAGGCAGAGGCAGGCGGATCTCTGTGAGTTCGAGGCCAACCTAGTCTACCGAGCTAGTTCCAGGACCGGCTTCAAAACCACAGAGAAACCCTGTGTCGAAAAATAGAAACAAAACCAAAACCAGAATGAACTCTGGAAGACTCGGGATTGTGGGAAGTCCCTCACCACCACCCCAAGAGCCAACTTCCAGTCATGCCAATCCCAGGCAGTGCACCCGGCTCCACAGCTGCAGTGGGTGAGATCGCAGGCTGCCTTTACCGGCTACCCACTATGGCCCTGCCCACACCCAGGCCTCAGGCACCCTTCCCCCCTCTCCTTATGTTACAGCCACCTGCTGGCCTTTGTCTCCCCCAGCCCTCATTCCTCTGGCCTCCTTGCTGGCTGTGATGTGGGAAGTGCTTCCTAGTGTCTAACCTATGTGACTGTGTCTTTGGGCCATCCTTGGCACTGTCACGGGGCTAGGGAGGGCAGACGTGGCCGGGTGCAGAGTGGGCTTCAGGGAAGGGAGAGGCTGGAAAGACCGTGGGGAGGAAGAGGGCACGGTGCCCCCATCCCGGCCTGCACCAGTGGTGGTGAGGGTGGCATGGATGACCAAGCCCCGTCTATCCCCAACCCCAGGTACCATGACAAGCAAGAAGTGACCAGCAACTTCCTGGGCGCCATGTGGCTCATCTCTATCACCTTCCTGTCCATCGGCTATGGAGACATGGTGCCGCACACCTACTGCGGGAAGGGCGTGTGTCTGCTCACGGGCATCATGGTGAGTGCGGAAGCCCCTGCTCTACATGACTGGAAACAGGGACCTCAGCCCTTACCTTGCTCTGCATGTCACAAGGTTTTGTTTAGTGGGCCTGGGCACCTTTCACCAACCTAGAGGCTCCAGCTGGCCCCACATCTGATCCCAGGGAGCCTGTGTGGTCCATGGGCCCCTCTAAAAATCCATCTCGCGATCTGGAAGCTCAGGCAGAAAAGGCTCTCATCTTTGGTAGGTATAGTCCACTTGGGACATCGGATTCCTTTTCCCTGTTTCAAGCAACAGTTTTCTTGTCTTTGTTTTTCTCACTGTGTAACCCTACCTGGCCTCAAAGTCACAGAGATCCCTCTGTCTCTACCTCGCGAGTGCTGGGACTAAAGGTGTGTGCCGCTGCCATAGGCTACACAAGTTTCCTAAGCCACTCGACCATCTGGACTCCCAAGCCACCATTCTTGTTGAAACACAATGATGTGTTCTTGTAAAAATAGGATCACCACCAGGCATGGTGGCCCAAGCCTGTCACCCCAGCGTGTGGGAAGCTGAGACAGGATGGCAGCTTCCGCTTTACGGACCTAGTGAGATGATGTCTCAAAACAAAATTAAATTAAACTAAAAGAGTTCCGATCCACATAGACTTCAGCTCACTCTTGCCAGGCCCAGCTCATGTGCTCCTTTCTCCCCAGGTGGCTGAGTTCCACAGGAGAAAGGGAAAAGTAAGGATGGGCCATCTTCTCCTGGAGCCCCAGAGGCCTGGGGGAGCACAGAACCCCCTTCTCTGGTTAATCACACGGCTTTAGAGGCACAACTCCTGCCAGGCTTGATGGCAAACATCTTTAACCCCAGCGTTGGGAGGCAGAGGCCAGCCTGGTCTACAGAGTGAGTTCCAGGACAGCCAGGGATACATAGTGAGAACCTGTCTCATAAAACAAAAAAAAACATGACTGTATCAGAATTGAATAATCCCACACTAGCTCCGAATAGGGTATACTAAGGTTTTTCTTTATTAGAAAAGAAACTCACAGACACAGCGAGGAAACCGGAACAAGGTTAGGCGTGCAGGAAGGGGTTATATTGTGAGGTTCTTTGAAATCTCTTATTACCATATAACTCTGCCTTTTGTACAGAATTATAAGGGATTTGTTCCACCTTACTTAAATCTTCTAATTTGTAACCTGCCTTCCCTGATTTATTTGCATCAGTGTAAAATGTATGGACTCCATTTATTGGAGCATCACATACAATTCGGGGAAGAATTCAAGAAGTTCTCTTTATAAGGTTATTTCTACTGCTTGGGGGATAATTGCTATTAATCTCTCCTAAAAAAATAGCACAAGCTCTTTGCCATGGTTCATTGTCTTCCCATAATTTTTAAATTTCATCAGCAATAAAAAAAACCCATAATCTTTCCTGGGTCTATACCTGCTCATTGATGAATTCTCAATTTTCCTTTTGTAATAATTCAGGGACCCTTTCCACATAAGTTTTTAATTTTTTACTTGGTTTCTGTGGTAAAAAGATCCATTCTAAGATAATATCTTCCTTCTGCATTAAAATTCCTGGAGGGGAAATTCTGGAAGGCAATATGGCTAGAGAATACAATTAAGATTTGGATTTACCCTATCCACATGTACCTCCTGTAATTTCTCTTTAACAACAATCAATTCCTTTTCAGCTTCAGATGTTAATTCCCTGGGACTATTCAAGTCTTTATCACCATCGACAGTGAAGTATTAGATGAGGTGTTATCCCCAATAGTGGTCGTAGACTGGAAATGTCTCCTAACAATCTTTGAAAGTCATTCAGGGTCCACAACCAGTCTCTCCTAATTTGTGCCTTTTGTGTTCTAATTTTCTGTAAACCTATTTTATAACCTAAGTAGTTGACTGAATCTCCTCTCTGTATTTTTTCAGGAGCAATTTGTAATCCCCGTTTAGGAAAAACATTCTTTCTAAAGTATCTGCATTTGACTCAGATAGTAAAAAGTCACCCATGTAATGGTAAATTATAGATTTAGGAAACTGTTTATGTATTATTTCCAATGGCTGACTTACAAAATATTAGTGCAGGCCGGGGCTATTGAGCGTTCCCTGTGGGAGGATGGTCCATTGGTATTTCCTAGTAGGCTGAGAATTATTATAAGTAGGCACTGTGAAGCCAAATTTTTCTCTATCCTTTTCTTTCTTGTAAAGGTATAGTGAAGAAACAATCTTTTAGATCAATAACTATAAGAGGCCATCCTTTTGATAATAGAGAAGGCAGAGGAATTGCAGATTGTAGAGGGCCCATAGGTTGGATAACCTTATTGACAGCTCTTAGATCTGTCAGCATTCTCCACTTACCAGATTTCTTTTTAACAACAAATACAGGAGAATTCCAAGGGCTGATTGATTCTTCAATATGCTGAGCATCTAGCAGTTCCTGTACCAGCTGTTCTACAGCCTGCAGTTTGTCTTCTGTTAAAGGCCATTGTTTAACCCATATTGGTTTTACTCAGTTAACCATTTTAAAGGCCGTTGGTACCTCTGATGGTTTGCTGGTTGCTTTGTGTTCTTGTACAGCCTGAATGGCTAGCGACCTTAGTTTAAAATACCTTATAATAATCTTCCCAGAAACATGAGTTTTGGGGACTGCAGGAATGATAATCTGGGTATTCCATTGCTGCAACAGGTTATGACCCCATAAATTCACTGCAATATTAGATATTAGCCACATATGGCTTCAGCCTTCCTTTCTGTCCTTCTGGCCCTGTGCATTCAACCCATCTCGTTCTTTGCTTTACTTGAGATAGGGTTTCAATTCCTAGGAATTGAGCATCTGCCTCTTGAAGAGGTCAATTTGGATGCCAAGATTCTGGAGTCATGATACTCACGTCCACACCTATATCCAGTAATCTCTCAATGATGATGTATTTTTTTATATTTACTTATTTATTATGAATACAATATTCTGTCTGTGTGTATGTCTGCAGGCCAGAAGAGGGCACCAGACCTCGTTCCAGATGGTTGTGAGCCACCATGTGGTTGCCGGGAATTGAACTCAGGACCTTTGGAAGAGCAGGCAATGCTCTTAACCACTGAGCCATCTCTCCAGCCCAATGATGATGTATTTATATGCACTCTTAGCTTTGGTCTTTGATCATTTATAGAAGTCTGCCAAAATACACGTTTCCTATTTCCTACTGGAGTTTTTGACTCATCCTCCAGGTCTATTTCATCATCCAGAACAGTGTGTTTTTTTACAGTAGGCACTAGATTTTCTAATTTTCCTGGTGAGACATGTCCTCCACAGTGACTGGGAATGACTGGACCATGTTTGACCTGGGGGCCTGCAAGAAGACCCCCAAGGAGTTTCCTGATGGTATCAGGTTGCCTTATCTGTCTTGTTGATCTGCATTCATTGGTCCAATGTCAACCTTTTCCTACATATTCCAGAAGATTGAGACCGTCTATTCTTGCCATTCCCAGAGGAGACATTATTTCTAGGAATTCCTTGTCTACAATCCCTTCTCAGATGTTCTGTTCTACCACAATTTGAACATTTGGCATTTTGGTGTCCCCTCATAGCATTGGAAATTGCTTCTCCTACCTAAGCTTCAGTACCATAGTCAAATGTCTCAACATTCATTGTATGCAGGATCCATTCATTTCTTGGTACTGATCTGACCTTTTTTTAAAATTGATATCTATTGAGCTCTACATTTTTCTCTGCTCCCTTCCCTACCTGTCCCCTCCCTCTTCAATCCTCCCCCAAGGTCCCCATGCTGCCAATTAACTCAGGAGATCTTGTCTTTTTCTACTTTCTACTTCCCATGTAGATTAGATCTATGTAAGTCTATCTTAGTGTCCTCATTGTTGTCTAGGTTCTCTGGGATTGTGGTTTCTAGGCTGGCTTTCTTTGCTTTATGTTTAAAAACCACCTATGAGTGAGTACATGTGATAATTGTCTTTCTGTGTCTAGGCTACCTCACTCAAAATAATGTTTTCTAGCTCCATCCATTTTCCTGTAAAATTCAAGCTGTCGTTATTTTTTCTGCTGTGTAGTACTCCATTGTGTATGTACCACATTTTCCTTATCCATTCTTCAATCGAGTGGCATTTAGGTTGTTTCCAGGTTCTGGCTATGACAAACAAAGCTGCTATGAATACAGTTGAGCACATGTCTTTGTGGCACAATTGAGCATCCTTTGGATATAAACCCAAAAGTGGTATTACTGGGTCTTGAGGAAGGTTGTTTCCTAATTTTCTGAGAAATC